GAGATGGCTCAGTGGTCTAAAGCACCTACTTAGAACAAGCTAAGCTAAACAAAGTACAGGGACTGCGGTTCAATCCCCCAGCACCACATGCCAGCCAGTCCCGCTCCCTGCTGGGCTGAGCTGGCCACACACACACACACACACACACACACAAATAAATAAAAAAGAAAAAGAAAATAAAGTACGAAATAAAGACAGATAATAAAAAAAGAGAGAGAAAAAAGTTATAGTAATTCAGTATGAACAATATACCTAAAAGTATACCTTACCAGGTGTGGGGACACAGGCCTATAATCCCAGCACTCAGAAAGCTGAGAAAGGGACCAGGGAGATGGCTCACTAGAATAAGCATTTCCCTGGCAAGCGCAAGGGCCTGAGTTGAAGCCCCAGTTCCGCCAAAAAAAGAAAGAAAGAAAACAAGCAAGCAAGCAAGCTAGCTAGCTGAGGAAGGAGGACTGCTACAAGTTCAAGGCCAGCCTGGGCTGCACAATGAGTTCAGGAGCAGCCTAAACTATACAGCGAGACTCTGGCTCATCGGGCCACCTAGCTTGGGAACAAAGTGCAGATTATCACCTTCAGCCTCCTATGAGTATGCCTTACAGTGTAGAGATCTGGAAGCTTCCACTCTGGAATTCTGGAAAATACATGGTTAGGAACAAACAACTTAGTAGCAAGCAGCCCAGCACTGAAATATCCATTCCTTGCGACCTAGCTTCACGTGTCACAAACACAGTGCCTACGTCCCCACCCACCACATTCTTTCCTCTCTGAGTAACTAGAGGCCTCTCAGACAACCAGCCAGGCAATTCTGCTCCAAATTACACGATTTTGTGTTGCTTGCTGAAATTATACACAGTCTTATTCTGCTTGCTAATTGTTTCATGTGTACCAATGCCTTTTTTTCTTCAAATAAAATAAGTGAATTACTTGAGAATAGGACTTAGTTTGATCCTGCAATTGTCAGTTGCCCAATCCTCAGGCTCAGCCAAACCGGGCACCCAGCAGACAGCTCTCACACAGGGCCAGACAACCTGCTCTCCTGCAGAAAGGGCCAAGCGCCACATGCTTTTGAAGTACAGCCCATGCACCTGGCTGTGGGCGCTGACCACCACCCCATCGCCTCAGCAGCACCCTGACACTGACACACATGGCTGCCAAGCCACAGCAGCCACAGCCTCACCTCCAGCTCATCTGGTGTCTCAGAACTGCCCTAGGCGTGAGCCCTCAGCAGGCTCCCCCCACGTGCCCCCTCACCACTCCCAAGGGGAAGTCATTCACACAAGACCATCCTCCTCAGCTGGTACCCTCATTTAATCAGGCTGCTGCAAATGGCTGGCCAAAAGCAATAAGGGCATGACTGAGAGACTGTGGGAGTTTAATATAAAAAAATTAATAAAAAAAGTGGGGGGAGAATAAAGGGTCTACCTTTTAATAGGGCCCTAATTACCCAACTCATAGGATCAGCCCAAATGAGATGGGAGTTTATTTCAGGGTTTTTTTTTAATTATTGTTTTTTTTATATATATATAAATTGCTGCTATGTGTTTTCTTTCCTCTGAGCAATTATGCAGCAAGTACGTAAAGAGGAGAAAAAATATTAATTAAATATAAGGTAATTGTAGAGTTGGCCTGGAGAGAATGAGTCTGAACTCTGGACCATCACAGACTACCAGGGTTTGAAGACTGCTCAGGGCCTCCCAGAAAAGAAAGAAATAAAAATATAACCAAGCAACAAGCGGAAGCAGGAAAAGTCCTGTGTGGAGAGCTTAGCAGAGAGAAAGGCCTGCAGGGCTCTGGACCCTCGGGCCATAGTGGCGCCCCAATCACACCTGCAAAGATGGGCTGGCTCCTCTTCTGATCAATAAATAGCTAAATCAATGATTAAAACTCATGGGCCAGGAAGATGGCTCAGTGGAATACGCGTTTCCCTGGCAAGCGCAAGGGCCTGAGTTCAATCCCCGGTTCCGCAAAAAAAAAGAAAAAAAGAAAAAAAAAAATCCTCAAAAGGAGACTGAGGAGGCACACTACTAAACAGGAGCACAGTGCTCTATTCAACAATAGTCTAAGGTAGTACTTCTGCCTAAGGGGGCTAGTAGCTCGGCCCCAGGGGATGCTCAAGCCTCCAGCAGCAGGCAGGCAGAGGGTCATCTCCTTGGCTCTCCAGGGAAGAGTCCAGATAAGAATCTAGATATCTTACTCCTTATTTTACAGGAGTAAAATAAGGCCACTGTGGGAGTGCGGGGACACAAGCCCATGACTGTGAGGGCAGGAGACATGAATGACATCTCACCCTTCTGAAATAGGTTCAGCAGCACTTACACCATCTCACCCTTGTCCCAGGAAAGGCTCAGGCCAGCTAAGCACCTTGAGCCACCTCTTCCCACACTGCCAGAAGAGTGACGACACTAGATGCCACCTATGGCACTGCTGAAAGAGCCTGGGTGTTCCCTATGCTGGCTGGAGAGAGGAAAGGCTCTGGAAGTTAAGCCTAACACTGCTCCCCACCTCAACTGATTTACAGAGGGCCCTAAAAATGCCAAATAGAACAAAACCAGGGCAGGTGGTAAGAGGCTCTGCTTAGACCCCCCACAGCAAAAGCATCTTTTCAAGACCCCCACCGTTCGCACATAGTGGGCCTCCTCCTCTTTGGTAGGCTCAGATATGGCTGGTAATGCCAAACACGCCCCTAGTTACTGACCAAGCAAAACCACATTCACCTCCTTACCCATTCCTTAAAAGGCCCCTTGCTGGTCCCACCCCAAGGCGCACAGTAACAACCTTGCTGGCCCAAGGCCCTGGCATCTCCTGAATTACTACATCAGCAATGCAGCAGCCCAGGACCGTTAGGTAGATGCTTTAGCTCCTGAAAGCACTAGGCTCCATTCAGGAGAGAGCTCACTGATCTCTGCATGCCAGGACAGAAGTAGAGGTCAAGTCACCCACAGGAAACTGCCACAGGACACCCTTTCAATGGACACTGCTTTTGTTAAGCTGTAGGACCCAAAGCTTGCTTTAAACTCACATGGTATTTTATTATTAGCAAACGATACTGCGTGTCTTGGGTACTCACCAACGGCTCTCTGGGCACCACATTTTCACTTCCTGGAGTAGAGCTCGGCTGCAAAGAGAAACAGAAACAAAAATAAGATCATAGTGCCACCCAATGGGCATCAAAAAAAAAACTTATATTTTCAAGCAAGACATAAAAATGCCTTTTACTCATAATTTTCATTGCTTTTTCAAAACTTTAGAGTACTCTGCAGTGGATAACCTGTAAGAAGTAATCAAAGAGTCTGAACTTACCAGGAAACATAACTTGTGAATTCCTTTTCACCAGCCCTCAAGAACATGGCTGAGTTTTTATCAGAAGACCTAAGATTAGTAGCTTGGCAGAAGATGCTGAGAACAATCACAAAATCCACAGAAACAGAGGCCAAAGACGAAGCTAAGGAGAGAGCCGGCCTCCACAGCCACCAGCTCAGGACTAGCAGACCAGAAGAGCAGCAGAACCACATGGAGAATCAGATGTGCCCACAAGGGGGCACTAGGTGCTCACACTCAAATGTTTTCTAGGCACAGTATATGGAGCCAGGAAGGGAGCAACCTTCACTAGTTCTTCTGTATCAGCTCTTGTTTTTTTTTAAAAAAAAAAAAAAAAAAAAAAAAAAACCTCTCTGCAGTTAAGCCAGCCTAGGCTTAAATCCTTTGTGGCAGTGAGCCAATGACAGGCTGACAGAAAAACAGACCAGTCTACAGGCAGGCCAACTGGGCTGACTCCAACCTGTTCTCTTGTGGGGCCACTGCCACACAAGTACCTTTAACCCTTGGCTGGGCTGGTCAAAATACAAAGGAGAGAGCCGTGTGGTGTACACCTGTAATCCCAGCACTCTGGAAGGCCGAGGCAGGAGGATTGCAAGCTGAAGTACATCCTGAACAACTCAGAAACTTAGTGAGAACTTGTCACAAAATTTGAAAATTAAAAAGAGGATAGAGATGTAATAACTCACTGCAAAGTCCCAATATTTACCCATAGAACTGCAATAAAATAAGAAATTTAGTGAGCAGAAGGGACAGGGACAGAGATAGAGATAGACAGATTTGTAAATTGAAGAAATTTACAAATCTCTACAAGAATACAAGTGTTGGGGCTGGTGAGATGGCTCAGTGGTCTAAAGCACCTACTTAGAACAAGCTTAGTAAAGCACAGGGACCGCGGTTCAATCCCCCAGCACCACATGCCAGCCAGCCCCCCCCCCTGGTGGGCTGAGCTGGCCACACACACACACACACACACACACACACACACACACACACAAATAAATAAATAAATAATTTAAAAAAAAAAAAAAGAATACAAGTGTTCTGTGCCGGGAAGATGGCTCAGTGGAATGAGCGCTTCCCTGGCAAGCACAAGGGCCTGAGTTCAATCCCTGGTTAAAAAAAATAAAAGAAAAAAACCCAAGTATTCTGAGTGGGCTATGATTAGTTTATGGTTCCTGCTGTTCAAGTCAATTGCCAATTATATGCTAACAACATCCAGGCAGGGCAGCCAATGTGCTCATCCCAGGAGCTAGCCACTGCCTCCACTCTCCTCCCATGGTTCACAGGTCCTGTGCCAGGGCTCCCAGGAGAAAAGGCAGCTGGCATGACACAGCAGCAAGGCCTCTGTGGGACCAAGGAGCCCCTCTCTACATCCAAAGTCCAGTCCCAAGGGCCCCACCATCCCAGGCCAACAGATAACTAACTGAAGAGTGGGTCAGTCCCTAAGATTCCGCAGGGCCTCCAGGCCCCTGCAAGCACCCACAGCCAGGGTGCTAGGAAGATCCCTCTGAGCCCCTGCCCCCTCCTTCTTGACTCCCCTGGACTGTCACCGGCCATGGCCAAGGGTCAAACCCCACCTGCCACAGGCATCTCCTCCTCCCAGAGCTGCCTGTCTGAGAAATCAGTGCAGCCTCACCAAGCCACCTGAGTCCCTCCTCCTGCACTCCCGGAGCCACCAGAACATGGCCACCAATCCCCTTCCTTCGCATCCGCAGAATCAACCCCTCTACTACTCTCCATCTCTACAGCCATCAGTTTGGTCCATGCTTCCAAAACCTTTCATCTGAACCACTGCAGCAGCCTTCTGACCAGCTCCCTGACGCCATGCTGGCTCTCTCCCCATACACTTGCCTCTGTGCAGACTCATTTCCTGGGATGATGGGGAGGGGTGGGGGGGCTCCTCCCTTATCCATTCATCCAGCCCAGTAAGCAACACCATGTTTATGAGACAGAACAGAGAAAACTCAGTGGGGCCTTTGGGGCTTTGCACTTGCTCTGTCTACATCTCAAGTCTAGGGTGGCCCCACATTTCCCTGCTCAGTCCATAACAGACACATAGCTTTGCTTCCTGTCAAGAGACCTTGCATATGCTGTTCCTTCAGAGCCAGCTAAGGTCCCCTCAGGAAGCAGTGCTTCCCTGACAGCCCTATCATGTGCACACAGTATTCTTCTGCTTCATGAAATAAGCAGAAGAGCTAGGAGTACATTCAGTGATAGAGCACATGCTTGAAGCCCTGAGTTCAATCCCCAGCACCAAAAAGAAAGAAAAATCAAACAGCTGCAGCTTTACATTTGTGTAATCATCTGAACAGTGTGTCTCCCTCACTGGCTCATGAACTCCACACAGGCAGAAACTGTTCACTCATCACTGTAGCCCTGGGGTCCAGGACAAGGCCAGACACAGAGGAAGCCTTGAACTGCTATCTGCTGAATGAATGAATGAATGAGCAACAAAGACTACAGCAATGACTGTAACACACTAGCACATATGTACTAATGAGTTCTATATTATAGTTCATTGTCTTCCTGAGGGCCTCCAACAACATACTTGACAGATACTAACTCTAGGTGATAATCTTTATTTAGTTTTCTTCATTTAATTCTCACAACAAATGCACACAGAAACACTACTGAAAAGGAAATTGAGGCGATGAAGGTTAACTCAGCAAATAACTAGAGCACAGGGATAGAAAGGCTTCTACTTAATCAACAATCACATTTTTTAGACTGTATTTTCTTAAGCAACAGCCCTAATGCTACTGCATAACTAGTAACATAGGTTGTTTGACTAGACAGAACCAATAAACACAACAGCTTTACCATTTTATAAGGGTTTTTGTTTTTGTGGTACCGGGGATTGAACTCAGGACCCTGTGCTTGCCAGGCAGGCACTTATTCTACTGAGCTATCTTCCCCGCCCCAGCTTTACTATTTTATAAAGCCACTTTCTAGGGGCTGGGGAGATGGCTCAGTAGAATAAGCACTTCCTGGCAAGCGCAAGGGCCTGAGTTCAATCCCCGGTTCTGGGCGGGGGGGGGGGGGGGGAAGCCACTTTCTGACCTCACCCTTTCTTCCTGGGACACAACCCATCACTACAAACCACTGTCACCAAGGAACCAGGTCAGATCAGGCTGAGAGTGCAGCCAGTGGCATAGCACTTGCCTAGAATGTGTCCTAGGGTTGGTCTCAGCACTGCTCAAAAAGAAAAAAAGTTAATCTCTCTCAAGTTAATATTTTCCAGAAGGACTTGTGCACAAGTTTTACACAGTCCATAGTGACAATAACCCAACTAAGTCTCATGTGCCCTTTGGCATCTTTTAGAATTGTGAGGCATATAAATGTGTTCAGGGTTTGTTTGGTTTGGTTTTTGATGACAGGTCTCACTAGTGTAGCCCAGGCTAGTGTTGAACTTGCAGCAATCTTCCTCCTCAGCCTTTAAGTGTTAGAATTGCAGCTGTATTCTGTTTTTAAACATTAAAACAGGGGCTGGGGAGATGGCTCAGTGGAATAACCGCTTGCCTGGCAAGCTCAAGGCCCTGAGTTCAATCCCCGGTTCCGCAAAAAACATTAAAATTAAAAAGATGCCTGGCAAGCACAAGGTTCTAAGTTTCATCTGCAATATAAAATAAAATAAAGACCGGGTGTGGTAGCGCATGCCTTAATCCCAGCATGTGGGAGGCTGAAAACAGGAGAATCACTATGAGCCCGATCTATGTAGTGAGACCCTACAGACCCTGTACTAAATACAAAAATAAACAAAAACAAAACAAAACAGGCTTCCTCTAATTCTAAGCCTAGAGCTACACAAGACTGGTTGGCCCCTTATCAGTTCTCACAAAGCCGGGCCAAGTATGTCAGAAGCATCTAGATGTACCTGTCCCCATCCTGGATCTTTAAACAGCAGCACCTCCTAACTCCTCCACCCCAGGTTTCCCAGAGCCTACTGAGCCGGCACACAACAACCCCAGACCCTCACATGCCACAATGTGGAGCGAGCACTTCCCAAACTGCATTCCACCCTAGGCTGCCCAGTCAGCCGGTACTGGGTACCCTGAAGCTTCACATCAATATTGGAAGTTTCCAGCATCAATGACACTGTAGGGCAGTGATGGCAAACCTTTCAGAGCTTTCAATAATACAAACAGCCCACTGCAGCACCAGTGCCAGAAGTTTACGACCATTACTAGAGATTCTCCAGCCCGTGATGGAATTTTAGTCCACAGGCACCATCTCATTTCCTGTCTCAATGTCCTTTAGAAAACTATTTCTTGAGGACTAAATGCAAAATAGCCTCGATTCTTACTTCTCCATTGTGTTTACTCCCTTGGGCACACCAGCCACTCCACCCTGGGGAACAGCTCTGTCACTGACCTCTCCCTTCACAGTCTAACCTTCTCACAGACAGGCACTTCACTGTCCCGAAAGTCTACACCCTCAGCACCTAGAACATCACTGGCATGCATCAAATTGGGAGTAGTTAAAATTTGTATTTAAATAATTAAGACAAAGAAACACTTAAGATCTATCTATCTATCTCTCCAAAAGAGGCAAAAAGAGCCTGGCAGGGACCCCCCCAACCTAATATAAATGTGGTCTGCCCTCTACGTGATGCAGTCGGGCGGTCCTCGACCACGGGACAGTGCCATTCCCAGGGCACAAGTAGAAACATGCAGAGGTGTTTCTGGTTTTATTTTGTTTTGTTTTTTTCCAAAATCAGGGATTGAACTCAGGCCCTTGCGCTTGCCAGGGAAGCGCTTATTCTACTGTGCCATCTCCCCGGCCCCTCAGAGGTGGTTC